GCTTCTCTAGCATATTCCATAAGTATGCATCTCTAACATATACCATAAGTATGCTTCTCTAGCATATACCATAAGTATGCTTCTCTAGCATATACCATAAGTATGCATCTCTAACATATACCATAAGTATACTTCTCTAGCATATACCACAAGTATGCTTCTCTAGCATATACCATAAGTATGCTTCTCTAGCATATACCATAAGTATGCATCTCTAACATATACCATCAGTATGCTTCTCTAGCATATACCATAAGTATGCTTCTCTAGCATATACCACAAGTATGCTTCTCTAGCATATACCTTAAGTATGCGTAAATGATGACACTTATATGAGAAATTTGAGTTTCAATTAAATCATTCAAACGGTATTGGCGGAAGAGGCTTTGGGTCATTGGAATCTTATTTATATTTACTTGCTCAGATTTCTATGATAAAATTTTATATATCTGGTCAATAGGAAGTGATTTGTGGTACTGAAAGTCGCTCCTACTAGCAGAAGTGATTGGTGAAGGATTGGTGATTGGCTTTATGTGAAGCGAAAATTCCACTCTTAGATCATAAAAGTTTGTATCGATGCTGCCAATGTATTTATTAGCTTTCTTTGGCTTCAGGAAAACATTGATGAATACATCTATATATATATATATGTTCAAGGTTCCAATTGCTCAGGTGACTGACACATAGATAAATAAATATATATACAATATATATTGTGTACCCGTAGCCTCATAATTTACGCTAAGCCGAAAGTGAGAGTTATTCCTCATTTGAGTCCTTCAGAGGATCTAGAGGAATGTTTTAATACAAGTAACCATTGTTGGATATTACAGAAGAGGCAATTGAAAACTTCTCTTGGAAAATCGACAGCAAAAACCTCATACTAGCAATTATAAGTAACCTAATCGCTGCACAGAGTAAAGGGTTTCGAATCTCTTTTGTATGGATACCATCACATAAATATAACCCATTATAATGACACAGACATTACAGCCAAATTAACGTGTAACAAAGATGAAGTTGAATAAGAAGTAGGTAGCCTCACCTCTGCTGTCAAAACTATGCTGGTCCACAATACATCACCGAATGGCCAGTTATCAGGCAATTCAGACCTGTTGGCATGAGGCAGTTTCATCCATGGTGGATACAGTTTCATGCATGGTGGATACAGTTTCATGCATGGTGGATACAGTTTCATGCATGGTGGATAGTTTCATGTATGGTGGATATAGTTTCATGCATGGTGGATGATATTTCATGCTTGGTGGATCCAGTTTCATCCATGGTGGATGCAGTTTCGTGTATGGGAGCTGTAAAAAGTTTACACTTACACGAGGACCAACTGACAAATGATTCTACAGTTTGTTTCTACTAAAATATGAATCATTTAGGAAGAAGCCTCACTGATTACGAGATCAATTTACAAAACGATATATATGGAGAATCGTTTGATTATCTGTGTTTGTGAGAGGAATATATATATTGATGTACTTGAAGCAGTGAAAGATGAGAATATTTACTTATTATTATTAATATAACAAATAAAAACTATTTAATCAGACGAGGAGTCACATTAACGTGGCTGAAATATGTTGACCAAAATATGTTCACTTTCCAATGTGTGGTTTGGTCATCAAAATACTATTTAAAATGTTTAATAATAATAATATTAATAAATACTATTAATATTATTTAATAATTAAAATAATCTATGTGTTGAAGCCTAGTTCAGGCGGTAAAGTGATTTCTGTCCAGCGAATTGATAGAGAACAGTAGTAGCCTAGTGGTGATTAATTTGGAAAATATACTACATGAAGAAGAGACAGATATAGTTATCAATCTGTATAAATGTCTTTCTGTCTTTCTTTATCACTGTCTGTGTCTCACTCACTCCTAATGGCCTGAAAGCATCAGAATAAAAAGCTACGATTTGTTCAGATCTGAAACCTATGTTTATGGGCAGCACAAAACTTCCACCAGACTGTACTGTACTTTGTGCTTTGCGGGGGTTGAGCTCTGGCTCTTTGGTCCCGCCTCTCAACTGTCAATCAACAGGTGTACAGGTTCCTGAGCCTATTGGGCTCTATCATATCTACACTTGAAACTGTGTATGGAGTCAGCCTCCACCACATCACTGCCTAATGCAAGTGGCTGCCGTTACCTGTGACAAGTGGCAATCGTTATCTGTGGCAGGTGGCTACCGTTATCTGTGGCAGGTGGCTACCGTTACCTGTGGTAGGTGGCTACCGTTACCTGTGACAAGTGGCAATCGTTATCTGTGGCAGGTGGCTACCGTTACCTGTGACAAGTGGCAATCGTTATCTGTGGCAGGTGGCTACCGTTACCTGTGGCAGATGGCTACCGTTACCTGTGGCAGGTGGCTACCGTTACCTGTGGCAGGTGGCTGCCGTTACCTGTGACAAGTGGCAATCGTTATCTGTGGCAGGTGGCTACCGTTACCTGTGGCAGGTGGCTACCGTTACCTGTGGCAGGTGGCTACCGTTACCTGTGGTAGGTGGCTACCGTTACCTGTGGCAGGTGGCTACCGTTACCTGTGGCACGTGGCTACCGTTACCTGTGGCAGGTGGCTACCGTTACCTGTGACAGGTGGCTACCGTTACCTGTGACAGGTGGCTACCGTTACCTGTGACAGGTGGCTACCGTTACCTGTGGCAGGTGGCTACCGTTACCTGTGGCAGGTGGCTACCGTTACCTGTGACAGGTGGCTACCGTTACCTGTGGCAGGTGGCTACCGTTACCTGTGGCAGGTGGCTATCGTTACCTGTGGCAGGTGGCTACCGTTACCTGTGGCAGGTGGCTACCGTTACCTGTGGCAGGTGGCTACATGAGGTACCTGGAGCTTTGCAATTACTTTATTACCTCTCGTGTTCTTGAAGATATCCTCATAATGCTCCCAGAGTCGGCCAGTTCAGACTACTTATCACACCTAGCATCATGTAACTAGTTTTCTGACACACTCTGTACTCCCCTTCATATAGCATAAATGCAGACGCGCCTAAATTTATCAAATAAGACAAAAATCAGCAAATTTATGGAAACAGAATGTGACGTGGCATGTGGAAATATGACGTCATGGGTGGGGTGTGTGACGTGTCCATGACGTCATGAGTGGAGGTGTGACGTGTCCATGACGTCATGAGTGGAAGTGTGACGTATACATGACGTCATGAGTGGTGTCGTGTGCAAAGATGACGTCACGGGTGGTGTCGTGTGCAAAGATGACGTCACGGGTGGGGGCGTGGCGGGTGCACAAGGGTCGTCAGGTGACAGTGTGGAGGTCAAGGCAGGAGAGCACACACGTGCTCGCTTCACTGTGACATTTTGGCCGTTTTGCTGACGAATGTGTACGATCTTGGACCTTAAGGGCGGGTATACCCTTGTTGTCTTGACCCCAGACGCGTGTCTTGACCCCACGTCGTGTCAGGACATAAAGAAGCCGACAGTGACAGTCGAATGAAGAACTTGCGGCCGACTGAGAGGTGTAAAGTGGCGCCATTTTGACATTGGGCGGCAAAAGCGTCCTCACTCCTCCAATATGACGGTAAGAGCCCTTTAATTACCATAGTTTGTCTAGTGCAGAGAGGATAACTTATCAGTGATCTTATACTGAGCTTTACACCCACTAATTAGTCATGCATGTAGTGATAATGAGATGATATAAGGCAGTTAGGAGGAGATAGCATGATGGAGGCAAGAGCGACACATCCTCCCTCGACGGTGGTCGGAGGGTGACTGCTGAGACGCGCCCACAGGTGGGGGTTTACGGTGTGGACTCGCCCAGAATGGGGGAGGACCCTTGGCGGTGCCGCCCAGCTGATCACCTTGGAGCACTTTGTTGCTTTATTATTTTATACTTCTTAATGGAACCATATTATTTTGTTGTGGTAAACTTGCAGTTTCCTGCATGGTGGATGATGTTTCCTGCATGGTGGATGATGTTTCGTGCATGTTGGATGATGTTTCGTGCATGGTGGGTGATGTTTCGTGCATGGTGGGTGATGTTTCGTGCATGGTGGGTGATGTTTCGTGCATGATGGGTGATGTTTCGTGCATGTTGGATGTTTCGTGCATGGTGGGTGATGTTTCCTGCATGATGGGTGATGTTTCCTGCATGATGGGTGATGTTTCGTGCATGGTGGGTGATGTTTCGTGCATGGTGGGTGATGTTTCGTGCATGGTGGGTGATGTTTCGTGCATGGTGGGTGATGTTTCGTGCATGGTGGATGATGTTTCGTGCATGGTGGGTGATGTTTCGTGCATGATGGGTGATGTTTCGTGCATGGTGGATGATGTTTCGTGCATGGTGGATGATGTTTCCTGCATGGTGGATGATGTTTCCTGCATGGTGGATGTTTCGTGCATGATGGGTGATGTTTCGTGCATGGTGGGTGATGTTTCGTGCATGGTGGATGATGTTTCGTGCTTGGTGGATGATGTTTCGTGCATGGTGGATGATGTTTCGTGCATGGTGGGTGATGTTTCGTGCATGGTGGGTGATGTTTCGTGCATGGTGGGTGATGTTTCGTGCATGGTGGATGATGTTTCGTGCATGGTGGGTGCTGTTTCGTACATGGTGGATGATGTTTCGTGCATGATGGGTGATGTTTCCTGCATGGTGGATGATGTTTCGTGCATGGTGGGTGATGTTTCGTGCATGGTGGATGATGTTTCCTGCATGGTGGATGATGTTTCGTGCATGGTGGATGATGTTTCGTGCATGGTGGATGATGTTTCGTGCATGGTGGATGATGTTTCGTGCATGGTGGATGATGTTTCGTGCATGGTGGATGATGTTTCCTGCATGGTGGATGTTTCGTGCATGATGGGTGATGTTTCGTGCATGGTGCATGATGTTTCCTGCATGGGGTGATGTTTCGTGCATGATGGGTGATGTTTCGTGCATGGTGGGTGATGTTTCGTGCATGGTGGGTGATGTTTCGTGCATGGTGGGTGATGTTTCGTGCATGGTGGGTGATGTTTCATGGTGGGTGATGTTTCGTGCATGGTGGGTGATGTTTCGTGCATGGTGGGTGATGTTTCGTGCATGGTGGATGATGTTTCGTGCATGGTGGATGATGTTTCCTGCATGGTGGATGATGTTTCGTGCATGGTGGATGATGTTTGTGCATGGTGGATGATGTTTCGTGCATGGTGGATGATGTTTCATGCATGGTGGGTGATGTTTCCTGCATGGTGGGTGATGTTTCGTGCATGGTGGATGATGTTTCCTGCATGGTGGATGATGTTTCGTGCATGGTGGATGATGTTTCGTGCATGGTGGGTGATGTTTCGTGCATGGTGGATGATGTTTCGTGCATGGTGGATGATGTTTCGTGCATGGTGGATGATGTTTCGTGCATGGTGGATGATGTTTCGTGCATGGTGGATGATGTTTCGTGCATGGTGGGTGCTGTTTCGTACATGGTGGATGATGTTTCGTGCATGGTGGGTGATGTTTCGTGCATGGTGGATGATGTTTCGTACATGGTGGATGATGTTTCGTACATGGTGGATGATGTTTCGTGCATGGTGGGTGATGTTTCGTACATGGTGGATGATGTTTCGTGCATGGTGGATGATGTTTCGTGCATGGTGGATGATGTTTCGTGCATGGTGGATGATGTTTCGTGCATGGTGGATGATGTTTTGTGCTTGGTGGATGATGTTTCGTGCATGGTGGATGATGTTTCGTGCATGGTGGGTGATGTTTCGTGCATGGTGGATGATGTTTCGTGCATGGTGGGTGATGTTTCGTGCATGGAGGATGATGTTTTGTGCTTGGTGGATGATGGATCGTGCATGGTGGATGATGTTTCGTGCATGGTGGATGATGTTTCATGTATGGTGGATGATGTTTCATGCATGGTGGATGATATTTCATGAATGGTGGATGATGTTTCCTGCATGGTGGATGATGTTTCCTGCATGGTGGATGATGTTTCGTGCTTGGTGGATGATGTTTCATGCATGGTGGATGATGTTTCATGCATGGTGGATGATGTTTCATGCATGGTGAATGATGTTTCATGCATGGTGGATGATATTTCATGGATGGTGGATGATGTTTCATGCATGGTGCATGTTTCTTGCATGGTGGATGAAGTTTCGTGCATGGTGGATGATGTTTCATACCGGTGGATGCAGTTTCATGCATGGTGGATGATGTTTCGTGCGTGGTGGATGATGTTTCATACCGGTGATGTTTCATGCCTGGTGGATGATGTTTCATGCATGGTGGATGTGGATGATATGTTTCATGCATGGTGGATGATGTTTCGTGCATGGTGGATGATGTTTCGTGCATGGTGGATGATGTTTCGTGCATGGTGGATGATGTTTCGTGCATGGTGGATGATGTTTCGTGCATGGTGGATGATATTTCATGCATGGTGGATGATGTTTCGTGCATGGCAGATGCAGTTTCATGCATGATGGATACAGTTTCATGGTGGATGCAGTTTCATGCATGGTGGATGCAGTTTCATGCATGGTGGATACAATTTCATGCATGGTGGATACAGTTTCATGCATGGTGGATACAGTTTCATGCATGGTGGATACAGTTTCATGCATGGTGGATACAGTTTCATCCATGGCGGATGCAGTTTCATGCATGGTGGATACAGTTTCATGCATGGTGGATACAGTTTCATCCATGGTGGATGCAGTTTCATGCATGGTGGATGCAATTTCATCCATGGCGGATGCAGTTTCATGCATGGTGGATACAGTTTCATCCATGGTGGATGCAGTTTCATGCATGGTGGATGCAGTTTCAACCATGGCGGATGCAGTTTCATCCATGGTGGATGCAGTTTCATCCATGGTGGATGCAGTTTCATCCATGGTGGATGCAGTTTCATCCATGGTGGATACAGTTTCATGTATGGGAGCTGTAAAAAGTTTACATTTACACGAGGACCAACTGACAAATGATTCTACTGTTTGTTTATACTAAAATATAAATCATTTAGGAAGAAGCCTCACTGATTACGAGATCAATTTACAAAACGATATATATAGAGAATCGTTTGATTATCTGTTTGTGAGAGGAATATATATATTGATGTACTTGAAACAGTGAAAGGAGATAAGAGTATTTATTTAATGTTATTAAAATAATAAATAAATACTATTTAAAATATTTAATAGTAATAATATTAATAAATACTATTAATACTATTTCATAATAAAAATAATCTATATTTTGAAGCCTAGTTCAGGTGGTAAAGTGATTTCTGTCCAGCGAATTGATAGAGAACAGTAGTAGCCTAGTGGTGATTAATTTGGTAAATATACAACATGGAAGAATAGTGACAGTTATAATTATTGATCTGTATATATGTCTTTCTTTATCACTGTCTGTGTCTCTGTTGGTTTCTGTCTCATTCTTTGTGTCTCTATATCTGTGCCTGTGTGTCCCTATCTGTTTACCTGTTCCTCTCTCTCAATTTTTGTCTCTGAGAATTTGGGTTGAATGGAAAGAGAAGAACAGTTGTAGAGAAGGAAGCTTCAAGCGGCTGGCGAAAATGACGTACTGTCGCATTTTCTGTTTTGGCTCCTCTGGCTTAGGCTGTTAGGTTAGGAAAGGACAATTTAAATTAAGTTTTCATGACGTTTTGAAACTTAAATGAGAACTTGCTGCCATCCTAACCTCCTATTGGACCCAAAACTTGCTGTTTTAATTCCATTTCCTTTGGAAAATGAATTTCCATTTTGGATTGCGACAATTTTTCTGACAGCGCAAACGAGCGAACAGCAGCGTTAGTCTACGGGCTCACCATAGCCCGTGCTACTTGGAACTTTGTTCCAGGTAGCGACTCTTAAACAACAAGAACAAGCAACGTTAGAAGAGGAGAGGTTGATAAAGACACTGCGGGCTGTAACAGTCAAAATATGATAGATTTATATATTGAAATTTACAGATATCAGTTTGGTAATATTTTAATGTATTGTAACATGAAACAAGAGATTAATTCAGAGCTGAATTAATATAATATTGTAAGATTCTTTGTGGGGTCACTTTGGTACCATGTCAAGTGGTATTTGTTTCACTGATGCCAACTTCGGGTAGAGACAGATATTCTAATATACAAGTATAGATAAGTACACAGACACTGTATTGCTTATCACACACGACACATAAACTGTATTGGAGGGGACCAAAACATTTCCTTTAATGCGTTATGTGTGATTTCCTCCGAGGCTAAGCGCCCCCCTCCCCACTTCTTCTTCCAGCCAGAGGGAGTATATATAATGAAAGGACGACGACGTTTCGGTCCGTCCTGGACCATTCTCAAGTCGATTGTGAATGATCTTGACACAATCGACTTGAGAATGGTCCAGGACGGACCGAAACGTCGTCGTCCCTTCACCTTCTAGTGTGTGGTCTGGTCAACATACTTCAGCCACGTTATTGTGACTCCTCGCCTGCAGAATATATAATATATTTTCTGATAAAACATCTCTCAGGTAATTACAACACCAACTAGGTTACTGCATCTGCCTAATATAATGTTCGCTAATGTATCATACTAATAGTTTGTACACATCATGCTACATATATACGAAAATGGAGATATTCAGAAAAGCATTTACCATAACTTGTATCTATCCGCTAATTGACTGCTTCCAGTGTCCCGCGGAGGGCAATGATAGTGTGAATGGATTGTTTAAATTGATTTTTATGGCAATTCCGGCCAATTTTACCCCATCTGCTTTGTGGAGCAGTTGAACGGCGATAAAATCCGGCTCGGAGTGTGTTATTTGATAGTGTTATGAGAGGAGTTTTTGCTCAAGCGGGGTTATTTAACTCTTAATTGCTGGGATGAGTGTAAGCCGCGGCGGGGATTACAGTGTTCACTGTTTGTTCACTTTTACAGTCCCAGGTCGAGTTAGTTTGTAAGTCAGTTGTAAAGAGATTTTACAAATGGTTGTAAATGTTCATTTGGCTTGTTTTAACCCAAATATAGTGGTGTTTCAGGTTGTATATATATATATATAAATTTGAATAGATGTAAATTGGATTAGGATTTTTTTTATCCTAGTTGTCAAATAATTTACAACATAATTGTGTTTGAATAGGCTCATCAGTTTTTGTCGTTAAAGCACTCCAATAAACAGATTTACACACACACACACACACACACACACACACACACACACACACACACACACACACACACACACACACACACACACACACACACACACACACACACACACACACACACACACACACACACACACACACACACACACACACTTCCTCTTATCATGCTATCATTCCATAATATTATAAGAGATAAAGAAATATCGATCTCCTAACATTGTAAGATAGACATATCTACTAACATTGTAGGAGATAGATAAATAGATAAGCTTGGGTTGAGCTCAAGTATGTTTATTGAGACAAAAAAGAAATATATCTCAAAGGGATAGAGTAGCTTAGGCTATTTCTACCCCCCCCCCCCCCTAACCTTAGGTCGAGAGGTGGGGGGGAGGAGGTTGAGTGAGAGAGGGGGAAGGGGAGGACTAAGGGGGCGGAGGTGACGAAGGGGTTAGGCTAATGGGGGGAATAAGTGGGGGGGGGGGAGACAGGAGAGGGAAGGATGGGTAGGACAAATGGAGATATACATATCCATCTAGTCATCTGTCTATCCATCTATCTGTCCTTCCATCTACCTGTCTTTATATCCGTCTATACATACATATATCCATTAATCTATCCATCCATTTCTCTATACATCGGTGCTACATTGCCTTCAATGGTTTGGTGCCTTTTGATAATTACTTCTCTATCCATCTGTCCATTCATCCATCCCTATATCCATCAATTTATCCATCTATCTATACATCTATCCATCCCATATATCTTCTATCTTTATCTCTACTTCTGTTGTGATCCAGTTACCATAGACTTTCCTTAATGTGGTGTGGCCCAGTTACCTTAGCCTTTCCTTAATGTGGTGTGATCCAGTTACCATAGACTTTCCTTAATGTTGTGATCCAGTTACCATAGACTTTCCTTAATGTTGTGATCCAGTTACCATAGCCTTTCCTTAATGTTGTGATCCAGTTACCTTAGCCTTTCCTTAATGTGGTGTGATCCAGTTACCTTAGCCTTTCCTTAGTGTGGTGACCCAGTTACCTTAGCCTTTCCTTAGTGTGGTGACCCAGTTACCTTAGCCTTTCCTTAGTGTTGTGACCCATTTACCTTAGACTTTCCTTAGTATGGTGTGACCCAGTTACCTTAGCCTTTCCTTAGTGTGGTGTGACCCAGTCACCTTAGCCTTTCCTTAATGTGGTGTGACCTAGTTACCTTAGCCATTCCTTAATGTGGTGTGGCCCAGTTACCTTAGCCTTTCCTTAGTGTGGTGACCCAGTTACCTTAGCCTTTCCTTAGTGTGGTGACCCAGTTACCTTAGCCTTTCCTTAGTGTGGTGACCCAGTTACTTTAGCCTTTCCTTAGTGTTGTGACCCATTTACCTTAGACTTTCCTTAGTGTGGTGTGAACCAGTTACCTTAGCCTTTCCTTAATGTGATGTGATCCAGCATATTTCTAAAATTGTATTAATTGTATTTTCATTCGTTTTAGGAAGATGCTTCGGGCTCGGAGCTGCATACTGAAAGGTAAGTCTAACGTTGGTTGTTGACAGCGTCATGAAGGCTACCTTGTCAAGGTTCCTGAAGACTGTTCGGATGTTTGCTAGTTTTACTGACGCCAAATAGGGGGACTGACAGCTGAGTGGACAGCGCTTGGGATTCGTAGTCCTGAGGTTCCGGGTTCGATCCCCGGTGGAGGCGGAGACAAATGGGTAGAGTTTCTTTCACCCGAATGCCCTAGTTCATCTAACAGTAAATAGGTACCTGGGAGTTAGACAGCTGCTACGGGCTTCTTCTTGGGTGGGGGGGGGGGTGTAACAAAAAGGAGGCCTGGTCGAGGACCGGGCCGCGGGGACGCTATGCCCCGAAATCATCTCAAGATAACCTCAAGATAACCTCAAGAAGAACAAGTCATCATTCTGTGTGCCATGCAATCATGTGTGAAATGTGTCTATTCTAAAATCTTCTCAAAGTTGAGAAGTCTTTGTCAAAATCAAGGGGCCAGATT